GACGAAACAGAATAGTATATTGTTGGGCCCATAGAAGAGGGGCAGTTTTGAAAGTACCATCACCCGAAATATGTACAGCGGCACTACAAGACAATAATGAAGAAACCAAAAGTTTATCACTCCACACGAGAATTCGGTCCTTGTCATCCTTGCCGGAGTCATAGACAAGTGTAGGACGAACCTCTTGCCCGATGATAGCGTGACTGAACTCAGGTGGAATCTCAAACCCACAACGCTGCTTAGGAGCTTTCGGCAGCGGGTGGTTCTTTTCCTTGAATCTACGGAGGTTCTCCATAACCGAAGACCGCTTTGGCAACTGCTCGATGTACTGAGGAGGCGACTTTCCCGTGACGTAGTCGTAAACCTCGGCTGGTTTCTTCTCGAATGCTGACAGTTCCATGGCTTTTTTCATGGAATTACCAGAACCACCTTCCCTGCATTCGGGCCCCACAAACATGCTCAGCCACCTAATCAATATTCTTCACAACTAACAAGTTGGCCGGTCCGTTAAGGTCGCCTAAGATAGTCAACCGAGCTTTGCACTTGAGACTTCCTGCAGGAGGGTGATCAGACTTGACGCATCTCCAGCCGCTCCTCGAACGTTCGGGCTCGTTACGATCCCTCCTGAATAGGTAGCCTTTGAAAGACTTCACGTAGAGACTGAAATTCAAACATAATGTCAAGAGGATCACCCAGAGCTAGAACCAATCTTTGCCCTCAAAAGTTCTCGTGCGCAACGAATTATGCGCTGAAATATCGCAGTATGTATTTTAGATCACTATGGCGCGCGCTTTTCGGACTGCGCTCAGATATGATTGCGCTGTGATGTGGGGCAGCCTGCTCTGACTGTGAGAGTCTCACATTGAGGACAAGTCTGGAAGAAGTCATGATACACAGTCACTTGCTTATCTTACCATCTTGCTGTCGCTCTGGTATTTTATCAATTCCAGCAAGAAGGGCAGTTTATCCAGGTACACTTGCGTCGTAGAGGCGTTTGAGTCTTGAGGCTGTTTGGTTGGAGATTGGCAACATGAAGGTTCCGGGCCTATACACGCTATTGAGGCTCTCGAGGATGCTTCGACAGTGAGATCACTCAGAAGCCATGCCTCACAGACTGGTATCAAAAATGAATCGTCTGAAACATGATGATCAGTACTTGCGGGATAGATTAACGAGCTAGAAGCTTCGTGACGAGTCAATGTTTCGTTGAAGGCTGAGGTTCCGGCTACCAATGGGAAAAGGTGCTGCTGGCGTGCTAAGTCTTATTGATATATCAAAGTCTACTGCTATTCAAGAGGATCAATGCTTGAAAATCCTGGTGAGCATATTGAAAGCGTGAAAGCTTAACGGGAGAGAGCTCACGAGAGTTGGCGTCTCAGAGCACGGTGAACACCCACGAACACGGGGATATCAATCTCGCGGGGATGAAAACCTTGGGAGAGGTATACAAATGTCAGTTATTTCGAATATACGAGAAAGTAGAATTTCCCAATCAGGTGAGTTGAGGAGTTGGAACTGCGGGAAAGGTTGTACACAGTATACGCCTGTCCACCTCAACCCTATTTCGAAGCTCTGATCTCCAATGCGGTGTCTCAACAGAG